CTCTTGCTCAGGCTGGTCTTGAACTCCTGAGCTCAAACAATCCACCCGCCTCGGCCTCCCAGAGTGCTAGGATTACAGGCATGAGCCACCGCGCTTGGCCTTCCATAGTTATTTTTGTCCATTTGGCCTAGCTTGGACTGAGAGTTGCTTTGTTAAAGTGTCTAGATATTAGAGTGTTTCTGATTATCTTTGTTGTTAATTGTCTTTTGGCATTATAAAAATATCTTTGTTTCTCTCATCTAATGTTTTTTGTCCTAAATTATACCTGGCCAGATATTAAGATTCCAATTCTTACTTTATTTTGTTTGTATTCCATTAATATACTTTTGCCTAGTCTTTTGCTTATGAATCACCTTTGCTTTCAGGTCTGTCTTTTAGATATAGAATTAGATTTTGCTTTCTGAAAATATTTTTCTTTGATAGGTGAATTAAGGCCATTTGCATTTGTTGATTTGACTGATATATTTGATTTCAGTTCTATCATATTATTTCGTTACTTTTATTATGTGTATTATAGTGTATTTACTATAAGTCTTTCACTGTTTTCTTTGATTGCTTCAACAAAAGTTATTATAAGAAATCCTTTTGATATTTAGGAATGCTTGTGTTTTTGCTTCTGTGGTTTTTTATGCTAACATCTTTATATATTGCTCTCAGTTCTGCTTTTCTTACTTGGGCCTCTACTATTTGGTTCGTCAGCTTTAAATGCTAACCTTGACGCCCACCTGTTACCTATGCGGTGACCCTCTTCTTCCTTCTTGCAGGGACTTCCCTACCCCCAGCAGTTTTATCAGGGCCTTTTTGCAATCGTGGTACATTTCTCTCTAAAAGTACAAGAATTCTAGCTTCCAAAAGATAAAAATATTCTCCATCTCCCTGCTCCAACTCATCCCAGAGCCACACTTCCTACTAACTCTTTGAACACACTCGGTGCCGCCAGCATGTGCCCTTTCACGGCTCAGTGGACCTGGGTGTCTGCATTGGCCAAGGCCCCAGCAGACCACAGAAAGCGCACTGAGCTGGGATTCTGAAGACAGCTTAACGCAAGGGACTATTTACAGCTATGTGGGCAGAGTTGGGGGATGTGGGTACGTGGGAGGGCAAAGCACCCAGAGGCTCATGGCAGTGGGAAGCTCTACTGCTCCAAGGTCTGAGCAGCAAGAAGAGGGATCACGGTTTGTGGAGCAGTGAAAGCTGCCGCCCTGGAAAAAGGGCTGCCCAACAGAAGTTGTGGCATTGCCAAATGCAGCCACTGTCAGAACTGGGGTGCCTTGGGTGATGATAGGGCATGACGGGAGGAGCTAGATAAGAAATACTCCTGTTGGTTCCTCCTTAGCCATGCCCAGCTCAAAGGTAGGAGCACGGAGAGCCAAGGTGATGCCAGCTGCAAGGATCAGCCTCCTGGCAGAGAAGGGCGGAAAAGAGAGCTGGGTTTGGGGCTGAGTGCCATGGCTCATGCCTATAATCCTAGCACTCTGGGAGGCCGAGGCGAGGATCGCTTGAGGTCAGGAGCTCGAGACCAGCCTCAGCAAGAACAAGATCCCATCTCTACTTAAAAAAAAACAAAACAAAACAGAAAAAATTAGCCAGGCAACTAAAAATAGAAACAAAAAATTAGCTGGGTGTGGTGGCGAGCGTCTGTAGTCCCAAGTACTTGGGAGGCTGTGGCAGGAGGATTGCTTGAGCCCAGGAGTTTGAGGTTGCTCTGAGCTAGGCTGATGCCACGGCACTCTAGCCCGGGCAACAGAGCATGGCTCTATCTCAAAAAAAAAAAAAAAAAAAGAAAAGAGAAAGCTGGGTTTGGGGCAGGGGAAAATGGTGAACAACTAACGTATTTTATTTTGAAGCTGGTCTCCTCAATTGGAGGTCTTTTTACTTTTGGAGCATGTAGTGCCTTATCCATGGATTGTGTTTGTAAATTTTGCATCAAACTCCAACTCAGGCTGTTGTCTTCTTCCTACAGCTTGCCTTTCTGGGTGAAGGAGAAGGCCAACAGTTTGAAGAATGAGATAAGAGAAGTTGAGGAGCTTGATGATTGGCAGCCGGCAGTGCCCTTAATACACAGCTTATTCCCTTCTGGTGGGTTAAAGAACCTTCAAAGAATAGCATAAAAACTGGAGGAGTACAGAAGAGCAGGCTTTTGAGAGGCTTTGTGGTGGAAAGGAGGGCAGGCAAAGCCTCTCCGGGAGTGGATATGTCTTCTGCCCCGAGGTGGTCCCTTGGGCAGATGTCATGGCCGTGCATCGAGGGTCGAGTGTGTTGGTTGAGAACTGTTAGTCTTGTCGTGGAACACAACCTTTAACTCCATGCCTCTATCCACAGGTACTCTGGACTTTCCAGGACAATCCTGAGCAGAAGCAGGCCCATAAAGCATGCACTGACTGCACTCTGGCAAGCCTCTTCCAGTTGATGGGTTTTGACAGTGTGACTATTCTAAACCAAATGTTTGACTCTAATGAGAAAGCACTGTGCTTTTCTTTCTTTAATTTTATATTTTGAAAGCTTTCAAACTTACAGAAAAGTTGCAAGAATCTTACAACAAACACTTGCACATCCTTTGCCTAGATTCTACAATTGTTAATATTTTTCCAAATTTTCTCTTCCACACATTATTACATTGTTATTTTGCTGAACTATTTGAGAGTGAGTGGTAGACACTGTAACCCTTTATACCTCAGCATGTATCTCCTAAGGTCAAGGATATTCTCTACCAACCACAATACAAATATCAAATTCAGGGAACTAACATTGATGCAATACCACTAATATGCAGTCCACACTCAGTTTTATTCAATTATATTTAGTTTTCTAAGGATACCCTCACATCAATGGTAAAATGCAGACATTTTGTGAGTATCTTAGTCTGTTCAGGCTGTTGTGACAAAATACATAAACTGAGTGGCTTATAAACAACAGGAATTTATTTCTTAGCGTTAGGCTGAAGTCCAAGCAGATTCGATCTCTGGTGAGGGCCTGCTTTCTGGTTCATAGACAGCACCTTCTCTCTCTGTGTCCTCATATGGTGGAAGGGGTGAGCCAGCTCTCTGGGGTCTCTTTTATAAGGACACTAATCCCATTCATAAGTGCCTTACCCCCCTTGGCCTAATCACCTCCCAAAGGCCTTACCTCCTAATACTGTCACCTCGGGGATTAGGTTTCAACATATGAATTGGGGGAGAGAGGACACAAACATTCAGATCGTAGCAGTGATCTTGCATTATTTTTGATAAAACTATTCTCATCTTGTTAATACTTTTTGGAATTTTCTCTAATATTAACTCGGTACATGTCAGAAAAACATGGAGGCTGGATCTATACCAGGTAATTAATACTATTGCCTTGTAGTTCCAGTCCTTATTTCAGTAATGCCTGTCTACACAGCCAAACATGGTGACAGCTCAGTGGCCACCAGTCATGAGTTTTAGAGCATCCCATCAATCAGACAAGAAGCAAACATTTGGAGGAAAAGGTGGGAACGAAAGCCACTCCTACACAGGGAGGCCACACAGTGACACAATCAAACTAATGACTCAGCATTTTCACAGCCTATCTCCTTCTCCACAGAGGAGTCTGCATTTTTGGCTAATGAGGGCTGTAGATCTAGTCTGTCCAAAACCTTAAAGTAGAAAGGGAGATTGGAGCCCATGCTGAGACTCAAAGTGCCCATGACATGAGCAAGATTTCTTTCCCTGTCAAAACATCTGTTGTCTCCAGACACACCCAAAGTGAATGAGGCAGATTTAGAACACAGTGCATTCATGCTACCTTCCTCTGTGCCTTTAGACCAATTAGCAGAGAACAAGGTGCCTCCCGCCAGCACCTGTGCCTGACAGCTGTTTGGGTTAACATCAGCATACATCTGTGCTAATTCTCTGGCCCCTGGGACACAAGGGCTACCCCACCCCAAAAAAATCCAGAAAAGAAAAGAAAACCAAATAATTTTCAAACAGAGAAGTCACCAAGAGATTTTCTGGAATACATTAATTTCTGGAAAATTAATATTTTTAGGGCTTTATTACTTAAATATAAAATTAACTGCAACCACCTGGTGGGTGGATAATGGAGGATGCAATATAGAACAAAAAAGGATTCTGTAAGAATTTCCTGATGGGATTATCTAGGTGAAAAAGGAAACTGCTCTCAGAAGGTATTCTGGTGTTTTGGAATGAAGGAGTCCTACACAGTAAAGTTATTTAGAAAAACAACCAAAATACAGTTTCAGAAGGTTTGTTGCAGTCTCTAGGTCTCAAAGGGGTCTATATAATTCCTAGATGCTGCTCTAAACCTTAGTAGATATGAATTTTTTTTTTTTTTTCAGACAGGGTCTTGCTCTGTCACCCAGGCTAGAGTGCAATGGCATCATCATAGCTCACTGCAACCTCAAAGTCCTGAGCTTGAGTGATCCTCCTGCCTCAGCCTCCTGAGTAGCTGGGACTACAGGCACATACCATGACACCTGATAGTACCTTCTCTCTCTGTGTCCTCATATGGTGGAAGGGGTGAGCTAGCTCTCTGGGTTCTCTTTTATAAGGACATTAATCCCATTCATAAGTGAATTCATATTTTTTTCAAAAATAGAAAAAAATTTTTCTATTTTTTTGTAGAGATGGGGTCTTGCTCTTGCTCACACTGGTCTTGAACTCCTGACCTCAAGCAAACCCCCCACTTTGGCCTCCCAAAGTGCTAGGATTATATGCATGAGCCACCACGCCCGGACTGATCTTTTCTTTCTTTCTTTCTTTAAAATCCAGACCACAGATATCATAAGTAGATGTGATTTTTAAAGACAACTGTTAAATTATTGAACTTCTGGAGTTGCAGGACTACATTCCATTCCCTGGAAATCAGAGCAGTTTTCACTGGATTTGGTGTTCTCTGTGGGCACATCTCAGTGGCCAGGCCTTATTCCATGGGACCTCGTCAGCTGGCAGGTGGAGAGTTCCACCGCCAACTTCGGGCAGGATGGGTGTGTGTCTGTGTGTGTTGGGGAGACAAAGGCATAGAGAAAGGCCATACAGGAAGAATATGTGCATGTTATAGCTGTTCCCAGCTCTTCTTTCTAGGTACAAACAGGTTGAACCTGTTAGATGTAAATATCCCTTTCACCTCCCTTTAGGTTCTATGGTAAATAAAAACACGTGTGTTTGCAGGGTTTGTGTGTGTTCATTTCTTACTTTCCATAACTGAAGTCCAGCAGAAACGGCCCGTACATGACTATTTACAAGCGAATTCAGTAGAATAACAACTTCACATTGCACATAGGTATTCTAGTTTCAGATCCTGGGACAAATGAAAAGTAGCATCTGTGGACACGAGGGAGCATGAAAGACAATTCCAAGAGTGTTTCCACAGTCTCTGCACTCTACGTTACCAAAATATTAAGACATTCTAAAATTCCAGAATGGATTTATGAATATTCTGTAGGATTTCACTAATTGTCCACATTTCTAGTATGAGGTATTCAGTTTGGTTAGTCTGTTTTCTTTTTCTCTTAGGCATTTGGGCCTCAAAGCTAGGTAGGTAGAAGCATTGTTTATTGGACTTCACTTGGTGAAGTAGTTTAGAGTTGGAGTCCCTCAAGATCAAGCCCCTGGCCTAGAGAGGTGTTCGTTTCGGGAGAGAGTACCTGGATATGTAAATACCGCCACCCAGGACTGAGCGCTGGGCCTGGCGTGTGATGGTGCACCTTTTAGGGCATCTATGGGCCACGTTCCCGGTGGACTCTGGGAAAGGACATGGGAGCCCATTTGAGATGACTGGTGTCCTTCCAATGCTGGGGAGCTCCAGGAGGGACTGTGATCTGATCCCACTCTCAGGAATGAGGAGGCCACTGCTGACTTGGGAGCCAACACTGAGGCTCCTAAATCTGGACTTTGTAAGAATCCTGACATGAAAAGTAAACATTCTTGGTGTGCATGAGGGTACCAGCCTCACATCCTATAGGCAGCCAAAGTATCTCAGTGCCTTGTTTTCTGAGGAGATGTGTCTGCCTCCACGAAATGTGGTGTGGGAGCAGCAGATGGACCCAGCTTCCAGTGGCGAAGGTGTGAGCGTGGGTATGATCCTCTGGCTGGAAATGTGTTCTTTTGGCTGGGCACGTGTGGGCTGGAGTAAAAATTGGGATTCTGTTAGACAGAATGGATGCGTGGGGTATGGTTATACTAAAAATTATTCGTTCTTTATCTGAAATTCAAATTTAACTGGGATCTCTGTATTTTTATTTGCCAGATCTGGCAACTTACAGTGAGGGTGGCAAAAGGAGATGGATTTGAGGGCTAGGCAGGTGGTAAAGTTGGTAAGACCCTGGCTGGGTTGGCTTGGCTGCAGGTGGGGGAAAGATACAGGAAAAGGAGAAGTGGCAAGAGGACGGATGGTGGTGCTGTTGCTGGGACCCCTTCTACTCCATGTGGCATTGTGGACGACGGAGAAAGATGCCCTTTCAGTGGACAAGCCCTGTGGATGCACAGCTCGGTGAGCTGTGTGCAAGCCGGACGACAACCTCCATTTGCTTGTCGTGCAGAGAACTTGTTACACAGCACACATGGCAGCCCTGTGCTAGCCACTGAAATGAGGAATGCTGGGGAAGTACAGGTTTTCTGGGAGGAGGTCAATGTTGGGCAAGTTGACTTTGAGGAACCTGTGACACACAGCTGGAACCGTCTGACAGTTCCTAGTCTAGCCTAGGATGTCGTTGGGCATCCAAATCTGGGGTCCAGCTATATGCATGTGAAAAAGAAGGTCTCCTGTGAGAAATGTATATCCCAAGCCTGTACCATGTAGGTGTGGGGTACAGATGTAAATGACACAATAGAAATATCCAGCCCCAAATGAGTAATGAGCTCAAAAAGACTCTTGAACCTCTGGGCCCTGAGAAGCAGCAAATTCTCTTTGAGAACACTTCCCCACCGCAGGGGACAGGGGACTCCCTAGAAATAACACCAACGAAGATGATCTCCTGAGAAAAAAGTTACAAAGTACACTTGGATTCTGCACAAGGAAGTGTCACTAGATGAAATCAAGCCAATTTAGGTGATTAACCATGTTTATCAATATAATATGAATTATCACAATTTGGGATGCTTACAATTCCATCTTGTACTAATGTGACATCAGGACATTGACTTTTCCCAACGCTGGCTGAGAAATTTCTAAATTAGAAAGAGGGGCTTAGGAGTGGCAATCTGATAGATGGGGTGGGGCTAGAGGACTTGTCTTGAAACTGTACAGTCATGAACCACATAAAGGAGCAATAGGCTACCTATAGCCTAGGTACGTAGCAGGCTATGCCGTCTAGGTTTGTGTAAGTACATCTTATGGTGTTCACACAATGATGAATCTGCCTAATGATGATGCATTTCTCAGAATGTATCCCTGTCCTTAAGCAACACATGACTGTATTTGCAAAGCAGAACAGCATCTTTACTTAAATTGTATGTTTATTTGGGGAGATGATGAAGATTGTGGGGGTGATTAACCCCGGCCCGGAACCATGCCTTGGTGTTGCCATAGGCTTCTGTCCCTAATTTTAGCTTTCCTGAATAGTTTCTTGTTGGTAAAAAACTAGATGAGAGGGAAACTAGAATTTTTATTGTTTTCTTGGCTAACTCCAGTCAGAACCAGCTCCCCAGAGAGGAGTGACAAATGGGGAATGAGGGACAGTGCAACCTAAAAATCCTGCTACCATCTCTGGTCACCCCCTTTAAAGTTGGATGGACCTCCAACCTTTTTCCTGAGCCAGAGTTTCCCAAATTGTGTTTCCTGAGTGTCAATAGGTATTATAAGAAAAAAAGTTTTGAAGGTCAAATTAGTTTGGCAATGCTACACAGTAAGTCTTCATTTAAGGTCATTCATTGGTAGGTTCTTGGGAACTGAGACTTTAAGGGAAACACATATAAGGAAACCAATTTTACCATAGGCTAATGGATACAAGCAAGAGTTAAGTTTCTGGTTACAAAAACATCACCAAACTTCTAAATAAAGACCAAAACACTTCAAAATTAAGCACTGAAATAAATGTGAGCTTATATTATACATACATTTAAGAAAGATTAATAAAAACAAGTAAGATAGTTATTTACCCGCTTATTCTAGTTCAGGGTCTCGGGTGGCTGGAGTCTATCCCAGCAGCTCAGGGTGCCAGGCAGCAACCAGCCCTGGACAGGATGCCATCTCATCGCAGGGCACATTCATACACACCCCCACTCTCACTCAGACTGGGACCATATAGGCATGCCAACGAACCTAACATGCACATCTTGGGGACGTGGGAGGAAACTGGAGTATCTGGAGAAAATCCATGTAGACATGGAGAGAATGTGCCAACTTCATACAGACAGTGGGCCCAGTTGGGAATTGATTTTTTTTCCTCATCAACATTATAGCAAAATGACGTTGAATGAAACTATTATTTGAGGATCTGCTATATTAAAAAAGGAGTGTGTTAGCTTGCTGGGGCATCTGTAACAAAGTACCAAAAACCGGGTGGTTTAAAAACAAGAGAAATTTATTATCTCCCAGTTCTAGAGGCCAGGAGTCTGACATCGAGGTGTCAGCAGGCTGGCTCCTTCCTGTGGGCTCACAGGGAGAACATGTTCCATGTCTCTCTCGCAGCTTCTGGTGGCTGCCAGCAATGCTTGGCGTTCCTTAGCTTGTACATGCGTCATTCCAATTTTTGCTTCCTTCACATGGTGTTCTCCCTGGGTGTCCGTGTCTCTTCTCTTCTCGTAAGGACACCAGTCATTGGATTTAGGGATGGCCCTGCTCCAGTATGACCTCATCTTAACTTGATTACATATGCAAAGACTCTATGTCCAAATAAGGTCACATTTACAGGTGTCAGGGGTTAGGACTTGAACGTATCTATTTTTGGGGAGACAATTCAACCCCACAAAAGGGAGAAACAAATTTCTTTATCTTACAGCTCCCTACAGGCTTTAATTTTGGTGACTGTGAAAGAGGAGAGGACAGAGCATGCTGCTTTTTTCAATTTCACGTAATCATGAAAAGCTTTTTTTTTTTAAATGGAGTATCCCATGTGACTGGTGTTCTGAGGAACACGTTTAGGAAACAATGCCTTGGGCAAGTAAGGAAAAAGTGTAGCCTCTTTCTTCTTAAGTCTCTATTTAGAAGTGGCCACTAAACCGTTGCTGAAGGTTTGCAATGACTGACTGTACTGTCTGGTTGCCTGTTGGTGGCTGCTTGTTATGGATGTCCCATCAGAGATCCCTGGCAGTCCCTGGGGCCTCTTCGGACAGGTCTCCAGACCTGGCTGGTGAGGCTGGGGTGATATAGTGGGGGAGACTGGCCAACTCAGGCCATTCGGGAGGACAGTATGTTCGTGTTCTGGTGTTTATGGCTACGGCGCTCTGGTTTCAGACATCCTGGAACTTGCATGATGTTGCATTTCCTGAATTCTGAAAAGGGACATACTGTCAGCTTGTTCAAAGGTGACTTGGGGAACAGTTGACAGGGCTGCTGTGTCTGTATGGGTGGGTTGTACAATGCACGCCCCTAGGGGGCAAAATTCCCATAGCAGACATGGTGGTAGATCTAGAGTGTCCTGTTCTCAGAACATAAGTATTTAGTGACAATTTTCCAGCAGGTGGCAGAAAGTTGAGGAAGGGGAATCTTTTTCTAGCTGGCACAAAGGTGACATATGATATAGAGGTGGCCCTGAGGGGGAAGGAAAAGCCATCATCATGAGTTCTTGGAATGTTAGATCTGAAAGGGCTCTGAGAGAGTACTGGTCCAACTCTGGATTTGTTAGGACTCTTGCTTACAAATAATAGAAACCAACTCCAAATGGCACAAGGCAAAAGGAGAACTAATTAGAACACAAGAATAGGATGCAGCTGGGACAAGAACATATTGGATCCAGGGACTCTGACACCACCAGGACCTACCTGTCTTTCTGAACTTTCCTTTCTGCTCCTCAAATGCACCTACAACCTGCTTTCTTTCTTTCTTAGTCTGCATAGTCCAAAACACAGTGGCAGACAACTCCTGGGTGTCACATATTAGAGGGTCAGCAGTCAGCAGGGAGACTGATCTCATCTATGTCCCCATGTTAAAATTTCTGGGAAGGAAGTTTAATTGGTTCAGATCAATCAAATGGCCTCTGTGTGTATGTGTGTGAGTGTGTGTGTGCGTGTGTGTGTGTGTGTGTGTGTGTGTGTGTCACTGTAACCATGGCAACTGAGTAGCTATTGAGGGTGGTGTGGGCAGGGAAGCATTGCAAACAGAAGTCCAGAGACAGAAAATGGCTTGTCACCAGACACACAGACAGTTGACAGCAGAGGTAAGAGTGAACGAATTGATGGTCAAGTCTGCACGCTCTTCATAATCCTACACTGTCTCCGCCTCAACAGAATGTGATTTTATTGATACAATTTTCCACTTCAAGGTAAAAAAAATTAACAAAAATACAATGAGAAAATTATTTAGCTCTTCCAGAAGAGACAAATGGAGAAATGAAGAAATATAAAGAGAAAGGCACTATATAAATACTAAGGTCATTTCCTGGTCCACTAAATATTTTCATAACTTCTAGGGTGGGAGCCAAAGAAATGTTCTGAAACAGTGAAGGACACTGCGTGAGTAATTGGGAGGTGGGATGGCAGAGAGTTTGACAAACCCTGCGGGTTTTAGTTATGTTTCAATTACTCTGTCCTTTCCCCCTCCAAAACTATGAGGTAGGTATTGTTAGCTCCACTTTTCGGATAAGGACACTGACATTCAGTAAAGTTATTACCCAAGCTGATGAGAGAGCGCCAGGATTTCGACCCAGCCCGAGTTTGTGTAATACCAATGCCTGTCAATGGTAACTCATTATTAATCCACGCAGACTGAACAGTGATGAATGAAAAACTCTGATGTGACATTTCTGCGGGTTTCTGGGACAAGCACTGATCACCTGGAGGTGGGGTGAAATTGGCGTTGCCCTCCGTGCAACAATAGCTGCCATTTTGGGGGAGCAGTTATGTACCGGGTTCTGTGCCGCGTTTATGATCTCCTTTAAGTCCTTAGGAGAATTGTATGACGTTGGTACTGTTATCCGTATTTGATAGGTTAGGAAACTAAACCTCAAACAAGCTATTGCCTTTTCCTGAGTATTCTGTGAATAGATTTCCATTAGTGAAATGTTTAATAAAATGCTACATTAATAAATTAACAAAGCTCTCTCTGGACCCACTGGGCTGAAACTCTACACGCGTGACGTTCCCACCCCCTGCCACTAGGTGACATCACTACCAATCCCACCGCTTGGTTCCCAGCCAAGAACGCCGGGATCTCGCGAGAGCCGTGGCTTCCTCCAACATGTCCTGGAGCTGCGCGCGGCGTACTGCGCTTTGGTCAGAGTGGTTTGATGGTTTTCTGTCAGTCTCACCACAGTGGAGCTTTAACAAGGTATCCCTTTCCTTAAGGCCACCCAAGATATCGCGAGACTTGCAATTCTGCTCTTCCCCCTCCCTCCTTGCGCCTGCGCAGAATTCTTAAAAGAAGAAGGTCGCGCTTGGAGGAAGTGGTGGCTTTGGGTCCCGAGGCCGAGTCGCCGTTACTACTTCTCTGAAGCTCCTCTCGGCCGCTTGCCGAGACACCTGCCGCCAAGATGCCTCGAATTATGATCAAAGGGGGCGTGTGGAGGAATACCGAGGTGAGTCCCCTTTTCCCGCCGTCGGCTGCCCTCCGCCCTCTCCAGCAGCTTGTGCGCACGCGCGCGGAGGTCCGGGAGGCGAGGAGGGTGCCCTGCGGGGTCTGCTCTGCATTGGGGGCTGTGCGGGGGCGGACCATCGGGCCCTCTACTGTGTGCCCTGACCCGGGTTGTGCGAGCGCCTCTAGGACAGGGACAATAATTTAACCACCTGACTAATGAGCTCCGTACTCACTGCCAGGCATTTGTTAGGCCCTTAGCGAGCATTTGTTGAATTGAGGACGCGCCATCCCCTTTCCCCAGAGGATTCCAGTGTGACCAGGAAGCTAAGGACATCAGCTAGAGTTGGTCTTCTAGGCCACCACCTTCTCTCGGCTCAGGCACTGCAACTGTCTCTGATAATTAAAAATAAAGAAGTTGTTTTGGCCACACTTTGTTTCTTCATAGACTTGCATGCAGAGGGGAAACAGCTTGAGTGCCAGGTTCAAAGAACCCGTTTATGCCCGCACTTCTCTGGTTATCTGTTATCAGGGCATAACCTGTCTGTCCTCCCCACAGATCCCAAGGTCTGTCTCTCTTTTCCTGTTACTCCGTCTTTGCCCGGATAGAAGCTTGCTAGGACAAACTGCCTAGGTAGTCTCTGCTCCCAGAAATGTAATGGATAATGCCATTAGTGAGCCAAAAGGCAGTAGAGAACAAGTAAAATAGAGATTAGATTTTAGTGCATTTTGTGTATAGGGAGCACTGAATTTATCAGTTTCTGGAGCACGTCTTATCTTTTCATGCTCTTTTTTTTTTTTTTTTTTTTTTTTTTTTTTTTTTTTTTTTTTTTTACCTCTTGTGCCGTCTCGGAATATCTTCCTACTGCTTGGCATCTTTCTGACCATCCTTTAAACGTAGTTCAGAAGCACTTTTTGGAATCTTTGTGTATTCACCATGTAAGAATTAGTTGCACCCCCAGTGGTCTCAAGGTACCTTTCCTGCCATTTTTTATAGCTTGCTTTGTCCTTTTGCAAGTACATATTCTTCTGTGTGATGCTAGGTAAAGTTTCTTAACCTCTCAGAGCCTCAGTTTCCTCATTTTTATAAACGGAGATGATACTTAACCTCTCTTGAGGATTGAAATGAATCAATACATTTAGAACAGAATCAGGCATATAGTAGTCTTTCAGTAAATGCTAGTAGGTTTTTCCCCTCACCAGACAGCACTGCAAGAGGACCAGGTCTTGGTATCTCTAGAGCCTAGGATAGTAACCAACATGTAGTAGGTTGCTTGGCATTTGTTAATGAATCCAGTAGATGGATACCTGCTTTATATAGTTAGTTGAAGATGTGTTTAGGTGTAGTAGTTTTGCAACAAATTACCAATAAAGACAGTGAAAACTGCCTTAGCTTTCCACCGAGGGAACCAGGCTGTTTAAGTTGTAGAAGAGGTGACTTCTGAGGGAGAGACAGATGTACAGAATCAATTCACAGCAGGATTCCTATGAAGTGGTCAAAGCCCTGCAGTCAGTCTTTCTTTTTTCTTTTTTTTAAAATCTCTGAGTATGGTGTGGGGTGGCTCAAGTATGAGGCATGTAGCTCAAGTCCAGTGTGGAAGAAAGCCTGAAAGTAAAATCCCTTAAGTGCATTTCTCTGTGGCTCCATCAGCACTGATGCCTGTGGTTTAGCTTCCCAGGCTGCCCTGAGATTGGCACATTCCATATTGTGATGGGTACCCTGGTGAAATGGTATCTAGAGACTGGGGGAAACCAGAGGCAGAGCTGATTGATGGAGTAGGGAAGAAATATTTAATTCTTAGGTTAGACCTGAGATGTAGATTCTTGGGTCATTGTTGGGATTAAAGAGCTGGAGGCTTGGATTTAGCAGAGTCCCAGCTTGCTTCTTCAGGCCTGGATGTGTCCTATTTTGATTCTCTTT